TTTACCAAAACAAAGAAAACTTCCTGAAGATTTTGAAAGAGAAGCAGTAAAAATGCTAAAATTGAAGGCCAACAAAAAGCTAATAAAGCAGCAGCTTTCGCATCAGACTGGTAAAGTGGTCCTTTTTAAAGATCTTTCTAATATTCAGAATAGATTAAAGATTGTAGAGACAAGAAATAATCTAGATAAGTTTGTTAAAGATCTCCAAGAAAAATATGGTATATTTCAAATATGTCTTCAAATAATTATTATCAAAATTTGTGTGTATGGTTTGTTGTGTTGTTTGATCATTCTAGTAAATAAAATTGTTTTTTCAGGAGCAACAGTTGATATTTTCACAGATGATGCAAATGTGTTTAAAGGATTATTCTTTCAAGACCAATTAATGTTCAATATCTACAAAGCTTATCCAGAGATCCTTTTTGTTGATGCAACATACAAGCTTTTGGAATTAAGAATGCCTGTTTACTTGATGCTTAATGAAGATGCTATGGGGCAGAGTGAAGTAGTTGGTGTTTGTTTTTTAGCCGAAGAAGATGCATCAAGTCTGACATTCTTTTTTAATTCTTTTAAAAAAAGAAATCCTGAAACAAGGCATATTCGTGTGATAATGGCTGACAAAGACATTCAAGAAAGACATGTTATGAAAAAGTTGTTTAATGGTGCTAATATTCTAATATGTCTATTTCATACCATGAGATGTTTTAAAAGAGAAGTTTCATGCGAAAAGCTAGGAATAACTGCAGGACAAAGAAATTTTTGTCTTGAATTGTTACAGAAAATTGCATACTCCAGAAATGAAAATGAATATGCAACTCTCTATGCTCAACTACAATCTGATGCTCCATCCCCAGTAATTGAATATTACAATTCTAACTGGCATGATATACGAAATGAATGGGTAATGGGGATGAAGTTTAGCTCTGGAAATTTTTTTAATACCACAAACAACAGGTTAGAAAGTTTAAATGCAAAGCTTAAATCAGTTATCACTAGATATAGTTCATTAGAAGAATTTTTAGATAAATTTTATGTAATACTTACTGCAATTCGTACAGAAAAAGACCATACAACTGCAAATACTATCCTAAAAAGAAGAGTAGCTGTATTTCCACCTGGATCTGTAGAGGTTCAATACTGCTCTTTTTTAACAACATATGCTGCAGACTTTGTGTGTAAGCAGCTTGCTGCCACCAAAGAACTTTTATGTAATGAAAATGAAGAATATAATTTTGCTGATGGGAATATAGTAGTTTCAGTTGATACTTGCAACTGTTTGTTTCATTTATCTATGCGCTTACCTTGCAAACATATTTTTTATCTCCGGAAAGTACTTGAACTACCTTTATTTGATGAGAATCTATGCGATGCTCGCTGGTCTGTTGAACATTATAAAAAAAGTAGTCGTATTTTTAAAAAAAATAACAAAGAATCCTGTGCTACATTGACAACTACAATAACAGAATCTACAAAAAATAAGAAAACATAAACACAACATCAAAAGTTTAAAAAAGCCATGTGTTCTTCCATGAAACTTGCAAATCTGACATCAGAAGTTGCAAATGTTCATTTTGAAAGAAGGATTGAAATACTTCAAAAATTAGTTAGTTATTGGGAAGAGGGAAAAGAAGTTGCTTTGACTGAAATTATGCAAACATCACTTAATTCCATTGAAGTAGTTCATACAAATTTGCATCATCAATCAAGTGTACAAAATGATTTAATAGATTTTAATCAAAATCGATGTTTTGAAGTGAAATCAATGAAAGAACTAGTTAGTCCATTTGGGTGTCCTGAATCAGCTCAAATGAACACTGAAAATGGTTGTGTTGCTATTACCAAAGTGGAGATAGCAACAAATTCTTTGCGTAAGTGTTTTTCTTGTTTAAGTTGATTAGAAAATACACTCTTTACTAATGTTTTATTTGTTTAATTTAGCAATAAAAATGCCAGCAGTTTTTAAAAAAAGAGGTCGTCCCAAAGGGATTGATCAAACTGTAATTGGACTTCCAAAAAAGAAAAAAAACGTATTGAAAACAGACTGTAAACAACAAATACCTTTTACAAAAATGTGTTTGTCTGATAAAGTTCAAGGTTTCTAGATATATTTAAAATTTGGATTTATTTTAAATAGGTCTTTAGCTGTTTTTGATCCATGTTTATTTGTTTTATAGTTATATTATCATGGTTTGTAAACAAGCAAGTTATAGAAATGGCAATTTGTAAGACTAAGCTAATAGAGATGGAGAATGTTAAGTGTCAATCAGAAAAAGTGTCAGATGCATGCCTTGATGAAAATGTTGACCTTAGTTTGGTTCGTCCCTATTTTAATGTTAAAGCATGGGAAGTTGTTGAAGAGGTTATTAAAGACAAAAAAAAGAGACAACTTTGGACTTGTTATTTATGTCATCTTGATCTCAGTAACAAAGCATTATCAATAGCTTGTGACATGTGTCTTAATTGGTACCATTATGAATGTGCCAGATTAAACAAAAAACGAAAGTCAAAATTCTGGTTTTGTCAGATTTGCAATAAATCTGAAATTGATTAGTAAAAGAATATTTAGTAAAACTTATAATATTTTCGGTTATTTAAAAAAAATGACATTATTTAAGAAATTTAATAAACTCGATTTTGTTTTTTAATTGGTTTAATAAGTTTTTTCCCTTCATGTTGCTTCTTTACTTATTCTCTTTTATTTAAATAAGGAGTTGCCAGTTCATCCATTGAATTTTTTCTAATGTTTGTGTTTAAAATTATTTTGCTGTAATATGAACTTCATATTACAACAAAAATTAAAATGATTTGATAAAGTTTAATAACAGGAAGTGATTTTCTACCATATTTTTAAGTAATTATAGTATTTGATTTAATGTTACATTTGTTTGATTTAGTTTGTAGCAGTTGTTATTTTTTGATGTTATCTTTTTTTAGTAATTTTAATTTGTTGTTATAGTCTTTCAGTAATGCAATCCATTTTAAAGTTAACATTTGCTATTGTTATGTCTCTTTAACATGCTTTCCATTTTCTTACTTTTAATTCCACTCTCTAATCAGTTGACCCTTTAAAGGATTTTTAGAAGTATGAAATCAAATTTATAAAGTTTGTTGAATGACAAATTGACAGTGTAGAGTTTGTTAAATGTCAAGTTTGTAGTGTAGAGTTTGTTGAATGACAAATTGACAGTGTAGAGTTTGTTAAATGTCAAGTTTGTAGTGTAGAGTTTGTTGAATGACAAATTGACAGTGTAGAGTTTGTTAAATGTCAAGTTTGTCGTGTAGAGTTTGTTGAATGACAAATTGACAGTGTAGAGTTTGTTAAATGTCAAGTTTGTAGTGTAGAGTTTGTTGAATGACAAATTGACAGTGTAGAGTTTGTTAAATGTCAAGTTTGTAGTGTAGAGTTTGTTGAATGACAAATTGACAGTGTAGAGTTTGTTAAATGACAAATGACAGTGAAGAGTATCTTAAAATTTAAGTTAATAGTGTAGAGTTTATAGAAATATTGTGTTTAATTTAAAAAAAAAGTAAAAGTTAAATCCGGAAATTTAATTTGTTTCTTTGATTTTTTAGGTTATGATTTGAAACTTTTTTTGGCACTTTTGAACTTTCTTCTGTTAGAAATGAATTCGATGGCTAAAAATCATAAACTGATATTTTTAGCTTTTGATTCATAAACTAACAGCTTAGAAAAGTATTAAATAAAAACAAAATCTTAAACAACCTTATGGTGCGGAGGCTTAAAAACAAATAACAGTACCTCAGCTACTTGGTATGTTATTTTATTAATACATGTATTTATAGCTTTTTATTATGGTTATTTTTTAGTTTCATAAATTTTCTAAAAGTTTGTTTATAAGTATTTAAATTATAAAAGAGCTGTTTTCTTTGTCTTAGCATTTATGTTGTATTATGTTCTAAGAAATTTATGTTGTAATTTTATAAATGGATCTGAATCTCCGACTTCTTGTGGTTATGATAACTTTTAAGTAATAATAAACTAGAATTATTTTGATAGTACTTAATAAAATGTCTCGCCCAATGAATCAAAATTGTGCTCTCAGTCCATTCTTTAGGGCAGCAGATCAATTGAACAATAAAAGAAAATCAGTTCAACAGTGATGCAACGTTCTTTTGGAAAATATAAAAAGTGAGGTGCAAATACTTCTTGCACAAATACTAATGGTATCTAAATTTTCTGCCACGCTCATCACTAGTCGTTTTTCTCTCTGTACAAACACTTTAGTCGTAATTAACTTTGCAGGACTATAGGACTATGCTGATACCTGTTTCGTCCATGCTCCAAATTGTCAAAACGTTTACTTTCAATATAGTATTTTTACTTATAAAATATTATAAAATACTTATCAAAATACAAAGCCGATCAAACCTTATCAAAATACAAAGCCAATCACGACCTGTCATCGTTGAAAATTTAAAGAAATGTTATTTCATGAGTTTTTAACTGCTTTCTTGGTTTAAAATCGAAATTGCGAACTTCAGCGAAAGCATATTTATCCGAATATGAATAGTAATAGATTATTAATAGTAATTAAGAGTAACCCGAATATTCGCAACTATTTTGTAAACATACAAAAGTTGATGAAACTTATAAAATACAACGTAATAAAAGTTTTCAGCTGTAAATCAATGATTATTATATTTTGTTATTGTATTAAAGCATTTGACGCCTAAATAAATAAGTAAATTAAAACTTGTAAAAATAAAAACTTTTTAACTACTTGGAAATTTATTTAAAATGTTATCAAAATAATTAGTGCGACGGTACCGTGATGTAAAGCAACGGTATAACGTGTTTTTATGAGAAAATTCAAATAAACAGTTCCGCGAATTTTAATATCTACCAATCAGATTTCTCTGCCGTAACTTTATAAATTAACCAATCAGAGCTCACTACCGTAACTTTAAGGAATGAAATTAAAGCAACGGTACCGTTGCGCGAGCAACAGCGTTAAATAAAATATGCTTCGAAAGCACATGTTACTCTTACAGCCGCGAAGGTACGAAAGTAAACTTCAATATTGTTTTAATTGCTACTGTATTATGTTTTAAAACCGTTAATCTTATTGTGATTTGTTTTGTCAATATTACGGTGCCTTGTTTTCATAACATTCAACTCTTCATTGGCTTTGATTTAGTTAACATTTTTGTGTAAATAGAATAATGTCAATAAGGTAAATAATTCTATAAAATGTATTTGCTTGTATTTTTTTTACTATTTATGCTTGTATTATTTAGGCTTGTATTTTTTTAATAATTATGAACGGTTTTTTTTTTATCTATTGCAAAGATGCAGGACATTTTTTAGAGCTATTTACATTTTTAGAGCTATTTATACAGAATTTTTAGAGCTATTTACATTTTTAATTTAAAGTTAGTGAAATATGTGGCTTCTTTCTTGGTTCCAAGAACAAGGATTATTTTACTCTTTTTATATATTCTTTATATATTTCGCATCACTCTGTCATCTTTTTATGTCCAAGATTATTAAAAAGATAATCTAAAAAATACATCATTGGTTTAGCAAATTGATAATATTAAGAAAACATCTTCCATATACAGACAATACTTAAATTAGGTTTATGGACACTTGAACAACAATGACACAGATTTGATCTAATAGAAGTATACAAGATAATGTATGAGTTTTATAGACTTTTCTATAAGATATTCTTTGAATCAGTGAAAAACAAAAGAAGTAATGGCAACCTATTTGGTTTGCTAAAGCACAATTTCCTTAACTCAAATCAGATAATATTTTTTCTTGGATCATGTAATTGACCACTGGATCTTATTTTATATCAATACTATCTCATTTCATTTTTCAGAATTTTTTTTAAAGCATGACTCAACAAGTTGGATATTAAAAAAATGGATTTTGTCATAGACTAACATCTACGTAGTTTGTTATGTCATAATGACATTATTACATAACTAATGACACCATTAGTAACTAATAAAAAAATAAATAATCTTTTTATATATATGTTCCTAGTTATATTTTATTTTCAACTTTTAAAGTTATATTAGTAGTCATGCTTTATATATGCAACATAGGGTTTAGATTTTAGTTTTACAGAGCCTGGAATTCGGAATACTAGTAACACAATGATTTGAATTTGCAGCCTTTTACTTTAGCTCTGCCACGTGTATCCTTATCAGCTTCTAAAACTGAACATCATTTAAATGATTAGTTTTACTTATTTGCTCTCCTCATCACAAAGTTTATTGATGAATTTTAATTATTAATCAAAATCACTAAAGTAAAAAAGCCAAAGCTACTGTGCATTATTCTGAATTATTATATTATTTTGTTTAGCTCTGGTTCAGATTTGTCTGATTATGAAGACATTACTGATACATTATATAAAGTAGAAGAAGACACTACAACTTTGAAAGGTTATTATTATTATTATTATTATTATTATTATTTTTTTTGCATTATTTGATATGATTATTAATATAATATAATATCTCAATGAGTTTAAAGTTTTAGACAACACCAAGCCCTGCATTTGCGATTTATTTGAGAAAGCTACTCGATTTCTTCATAGTTATGAAATCATTAATTCTGTTAGGTTTGCTGCCCTTTACACTCCATAGAGCTTTGAAAGTTCAGGTATAGTATATATTTTTAACTGAAGCTAGCATTATCTGGAAAAGCAACGATATTTGCTATTATGAATGTTTAAAGTTTTGTGAACTTGGTGTAGTTATGGTGATTTTGAAATTCTATTTTTTTTCATTTTGAAATTCTATTTTTTTCATATTATATTTTTTTTAATATTATATTTCATATTATATTATTTTGAAATTCTATTTTTTTCATATTATATTTCTTTTCTTTTTTTATTTCAGCAAAAATACTGTTGATAAATGAATTTAATTTAGTAAATTTACATGACTGGAATTTACTTTTTTGACCATTAATTGACATTGGATTGAAACATTAAAACAAACATCACCACAAACAAAGTAAGTAGTAATAAAACCACACATAAAAAAATTTAATCTGAGTCAAGGTAAGAAGCAGGGTGGCCACGGCTCCTTAAATTTTTAAAGTATGAAAAACGTCGTAAAAAGACCTAATTTCTCCTAAAGTTTCTCCTGATTTTCTAAAATACTCCTAAATTCTCCTAATTTATTTGTCCTGAGTATAAAGCAATAACTATTATCAGCCATTCAACAATAAAGTTAATGAAATGGATCAGACTTGTAGTTAGTGCTGCTGTTTACTGATAGAAAATAATTTACTCAAATGTATATTTAATATTTTTGTAATGTTTTAATAATTTAAAAATTTTATTCTAATAAAATTTAAGCTTTTTTTTCTTATTTCTGCCTAAGTTCTGAACATCAAAATTATTTTTATTAAAACTTTATTTTAATTAAATTGACCTAAAATTATTTTGTACATTCAGAATAGAAAATCTCAGTCAAATATAAAGCTAAATTTTAAAAGCGGTTTAAAGACAATAAATAATTTTTTTTTTATTTGGTTAAGTATTATGTTATTATGTTAGGTATGTTTGATGATTTTTTTTTTATTATTGGCCACCAGCCAAATGCTAAATTTATAAAATAAATTATTCTGCATTGTTTAACATTTGTTAATTTTTTTTTACTAAAAATATACTGAATTTTTTAAATATAACCTAGATGATTGCTGTATGTTTAAAAGTTTTATATGTTGCAGATCTGGATGCAAACACATTGAAAATACATGTTAATGAAAAAAACATGTATTTTTAAATGTTATATAATGTTATAGTTTGAAGGTTATGTCTGTTGCAGATCTAGATACATTGAAAATACATATTAATGAATAAGGATATAAAAAATATATGCCTGTGAGTCATAAAAGAAATACAAACAGTCATTGAGCCACCAGTTGAGCCAAAGATGTACACTGTATACTTAAGTTATATTTGTATAACAGTATAAATTTAACATGGTATATTTAACATGTTAACATGTTAATACTTTCAAAGGACACTTTTCACTTTTTTCTTATTTCTGTCAGTGGCAATTCTTGGAATTAAAATTATTTTTATTCACAATTTTATCTTACCAAGTCAACCCAAATATTTTTGTATTTTTAGATTAGAAAATGTCAGTAAAATATAAACTAAATTTCAAAATCATTGGTTAAATGACAAAAATTATAAATAATGGGAACAAAAATGTTCCAACGATTTGTATTCAGTAAAATGTAAGGTATGTTTGAAAGTCATTTCTTTTGCAGGTCTGAGTACAAAGGCATTGGAAAAACATGCTAATGGTAACAAACACAAACAATGTATGCCTGTCTGTGATAAATATGCGTTGAAAACTGTTGTAGAACCACCAACTAGCCCAAAAGTGGCACTGTGTCCACAGCAGTTAGCAAAGAAAGCAGAGATACTGTGGCCAGTTGATTTTTTGCTTTCAAAACATTCTTTTTGATCAAGTGCAAATAAATCTGAATTATTTTGCAATGTTTAGTGATAGTCAAATAGCTAAACAATTTTCTTGTGGGAAAACAAAGTGCACATTTTAAGGAAATTTTGTGAGAGACATTATCAGAGCTTGATCAGTTTGTTTGCCAATTTGATAAATCTTACTACCAAGTTGTCAAGAAACGTCAGATAGATTTGCATGTTGGGACTCCTCATTAGAGCATATTGGGACTCCTCATTAGAAATGATAAAAACAAGATATTTCAACTCTGAGTTCTTGGGAAAGGGTGCTACTGTCGATATTATGACAAATTTCCGTAAATGTATGAGTAGTTTAGAAGAAGATAAAATGCTCCATGTTTCCATGAATGATCCAAATGTTAACATGTCTTTCCTCTCTAATTTGAATGCTAAGAGAAGTGAATGTGAACTCAGTCAGTTAGTATCAATTGGATCATGTGGCCTTTACACAATGCACTGTTCATTCAATAATGGTCCAAATGCTTCAAGATGGAAATTGAATAAATTGCTGTCTTCATTGTATAAGATATTCCATGTGAGCCCTTCTTGTCGTGCTGATTTCGAAAAACCTTACTCAAGCGCAGTCTTCAGATTATGCTCTACAGTTCTGTAGCCATCGTTGGATTAAAAATGAGAAAGAAGCAAAGAGAACTATGGAAATGGCCCAAGATTATTGTGATTATTGACATTTGGAAAAATTTAAGAAAAAGCAAGCAACCTGGTCAATGTAAGCCTGTGCAAAATACTAGTTATGAATACCTTTCTTCATGGTATAAAGATGTGTTAGTCCCTATAAAGTTGCAATTTTTTAAGGAAACTGCAAAACTGTTAAATTCTTTTTTGTTAGTTTTCCAAACTGACAATCTTATGACACCTTTTCTTGTGGAAACACTTGAGAATTTACTGAGGCTATTTTTATCAAAATTTATCAAAAAAGAAGTTTTGCCTGAAGCATCCACAATTTCGAAATTATTAAAAGTTGATATCAGTGGTGTCAAAAATCAAGTGTTGGTTGCAAATATTGATCTTGGGTTTGGAATAAAATATGAGTTGCAGCAACTGAAATCTAGAAAAAAAGTTACTAATGCACAAATCTATAATTTTAAAACAGAAGTTCAACAGTTTTTAGTTACAATGTGCAAACATATGGTTGAAAAAAGTTTTCTAAATTCATACTTTGCCAGATACTTATTATGTTTATCACTTTTGTACATGGTTGAATCTCATGAGATGCGTGAACTTTATTTTGACAAGTTGTTGCTGAAATCACCTTCAGTTGCTGATCAAGCCAAATTACAGTATTCACAATTTTTAACTACTGTTGTGAAAGTGAACAAGGAAAAATTTCTTGGGTTCAAAAAAGAAAGTGATATATTGGGTTCTTTTTTGGTTCAATATACACAGTAAATAAAATACCCGTTATATTTTTAAAAAACATAACGGGAGTTTTCCTCGCACATAACGGGTAATTGCCGTTATGTTTAATACTTAACATGTATGAAAATAACATAACGGTTTTAGCGTTATGTTTAGTCATAGCAAAATTGCCTTAAACATAACGGTTACATAACGCTAATTTACCGTTATGTGCGAGGAAAACTCCCGTTATATAACGGGTAATTACCCGTTATGTTACCGTTATGTTGAAAACCTAACATAACGGGTAATTACCCGTTATGTTACCGTTATGTAAAATGAAAATTATCTTTTTAAAGAAACGCATATTCTGCATGACTATTCGCACAAAGTACTTAACAAAAAAACATTTTTTTGTCAATAAAAGTTGTAATAAGAAAATAAAAATTACACATAAAATATATTTCATATCATAATAAATTTATATTATACTATTTATAATAATCATGAAAATTATTTACAAAATAATTGAATAAATTATTTACAAAACAATTGAATAAATTATTTACAAAATAATTGAATAAAATAACTTATGAAAATTTATAAATTCAAAAGTAATTTGCATTGCTTTGAAAAGATTGCAGAAGAAAAATGTATTTTTTAGATAATAAAGCCAATTGCAAAAAGTCTCAAATATCTTGCTAACATCCCAGAAGCCGCCCAAAACAAGAATATGTTAAATCTAGCAAATAGTAAACAAATGTACTGATCAAGGGTTGAACATCCATTTCGATACCTCTTCAACTCCTTACATCATATTCTGTTTTATTAAAGATAACTTGTGGACCATATAAACTTTGGCATAAATATTCATGTAGTGAATCACACTAAAATTTTATAAATAAAAAATAATTATCACAATCATAAAATAAAAAATTATTATTAATACATTAAATGGAAAAAAAGAAAAAAGAATGTGAACCATTGCAATACAAAATATGCTTACCATTAGTTAAAATGTCAGCAATATTACAAGCAATAACAATTTTCTTTCCCCAAGAAATTTGACAACAACAGCCTTTATTATTTTCAACTATTAACTATTGAAGAAATAAGTAAAGCAGTTATTATTAGTTTATACTACTTTAATTTTACAAATAGTATATTTAACATTTTTTAATACTTGCAATACAAAATTAATGTTAAAAACAGTAATAATAAACAGACAGGTCAGACGGTAAGAGGTAAACACCATTATTACACAAGTATTAAACAACATTATTAAACAACATTATTTGGCACAATTTAATTAGTTTAATAATACTACACTAATTTATATTATATTACTAGAAAAAATTTATTATAAAAATATCATATAATATATTTCTTCAGAATTTCAACTTAACAATAAATAATTTTTTCTTTCAAAATAATTTCAAATATTAAAGACTTAATCTATTTCAGGGAACTTATTGGTCAATTTACGGACCGAAAATTGGCACAATATACAGTGAATTAATTGAATATAAATGCAGCATAAACAAATTTAATTTTTTTTTCCATTTTTCCGATTTCCAAATAATTCCTAACATTTTTATGATAATAAAAGTTTAATTAAACAAAAAAAATTCATGCAGTTTAATACCTTAATATATTTATATTAAATCATTTTTCATAACCAAGAAAATAATTAAACAAATTAACTTTGGTAAAAATTAACATTAATAAAGTCAAAAGTACTTTGCATTGCTATGAAAAGACTGCAGAACTAAAATGAATTTTTTAAATAATAAAACTTATTGCCCAAATCCACAAATATCTTGGAAACATCCCAGAAGCTGCCCAAAACAAGGATACGTTAAATCTAACAAATAAACAGCCATCAAAACGACATTATATATATTATAATTATATATATATATATATATATATATATATATATATATATATATATATATATATATATATATATATTATACATATGATATATATATATATATATATATTTAATATATATATACATATATATATGTATATATATATATATATATATATATATATATATATATATATATATATATATATACATATATATATATATATATATATATATATATATATATATATTTATATATATATATACATATATATATATATACATATATATATATATATATATATATATATATATATATATATATATATATATATATATATATATATATATATATATATATATATATA